GTCCTAGAGAACAGACAAACCAGTGTCTTAATTGCTTTACAGTTCCGTGACAAAACATCATGACCAAGACAGCTTAGAAAAGAAAGCATTTAATTGGGCTTCTGGTTTCAGAGGGTCAGTGTCTATGCTGGTGGATCAAAGCCATGGTGGCAAAAACAGCTGAGAGCTCATATCGTGATCTGAAACTAGGCGGCAGAGAGAGACGCTGAGAATGGTGTGGGCTTCTGAAAGCTCGAAGCCCACCCCTAGTGACACACCTCTTCCAACCAGGCCACGCCTAATCTTCCCCAAACGGTTGCACCACCAAGCGTTCAAGCCTATGAGTCTAAGGCAGCCATTCTCATTCAAACCACCAGAGACAGCTTAGTCCGATCACTATAATTTGTGTATGTATTGAATTGTCATGCTGTACCCCCACGATACACGGTTATTATATATGTCAATTAAAAAATAACTCTTTCCAGGTGATTCACACATACCACCTTCTGGGAGTACAAGTCCCTCATTTAAAAGTGTGGGGGCGGCTGTATAGCTCAGTGTTAAGTTATGTGCTGGGCATTCGTGAAGGGGCTAGCTTCAATCCCTAGCACCCAAACAATAGATAAATTAAAGTGTTTTTTGTTTGTTTGTTCTTTTTTTTTTTTTTTTTTTTCTTTTTAAATCTTTTCTGTGTGTGGGCCATATCTGTGAAAGGGCTGTGATGGCATCCTGCCTCTGCCTTTCCTCCTGATGCTGGGACTACAGACCCTGAGCATCAAGAGATGCTATGCTCATGGTGATGTTCCCAGTCATGTCCTCAAGGAGCCTATGGTATAGTTAGTGTGGTGAGAAGAGACGTGACACATGGAAAAAAATCTACAGCAGCACAGAATCCAGGGCCAGATTTTGTCCCATCGATGAGTTGGGTCCGTTTGGGCATCCCTGAGGGTATTTTGAAATGTGTCTTCTAAACCATCCGGCTTGATTTAGACTCTGCAGTTTGAGGACAGAGCTCGAGCCAGAACGTTCTCGAGTGAGTTAGTTCCCCATGGGTTTGGGTCTGCTCCCGAAGTCTGGGATCTGTCTGCGGGTTGAGAGACAGGAGCTGTAGCTGACTAGAGTCAGGAGGGTCCTGAGCTAATCCTTCTGCTTCAGGGCTCAACACTATGGCCCCCCTCCGCCACCCCAACTCTGGTACCTGATGGTCTCTGGGTGCTGCTCCCTGGGCTTCTTGCCCCAGCACCTGGCTGCTCAGGCCTTTTTGTGCAACCTTGTTTGATCAGGGAGTGTCTGTCTGGGACTGTCTGTGTGCCACCATGCCAATGAGTTGTTGCCAGTGGCAACCATGACATCATGACAATGAGTTGTTGCCATTAAGCTTCTTGAGCCAGTAATTGAGGTGGACACCGAGTCTCGCTGTGGGTAAAGCCTCAGGAATCTTCGGGGCGTTTGCTCCGGTGTCACCCATTTTCCCCTTGGGTGGGGAGGAGGTGGTGGGCCAACAACTTTTTAGATACTCACGTTTCATGTTTTCCTGGCTTCCTGGGATGGAGAGAGCATTTTTTTTTTCTGTGCCTTAGAGCAGGGAAGGTGGAGCAAACACGTGACCCCCCCAACCCTCACCCCCAGCACAGCTCTGTGAGTGGGAAGAAGCTTAAGAGGCTAGAGCAGAAGGCTGACATCCTTGAAATCTGATCTACCTCTGTCATTATGTATGCTTTAGAGTCCAAGTTGTGCCCTGATCCTGCTTCACTCATAATTCAAGATGGGGCTCCAGAGGCTTCTGAGATGTGGTTTGGGGTCAGGAGAGCAGTCATTTAAGGGTAGCCCTGGACCCTGGTGTTTGCATCTTGTAATTAACTTGGTTGAGGGGGGCCATGGCTACCCTGCGCTGTGCTCACCCTGTTTTCATGTAATTCTCCCGACCACCGTCTGACACAGTTTATCTTCTGAAGTTTATAGGGAAGGACCCGGCTTCAGTCAGTCATGCTAAGGCTACAGTTAGAACGAAGCGGTTCGGGCTCCTGCAGTTATAGTGGGCTGCTGCTTCCGGGGGACCTGAAAACCTTTGGCTCCACAGGTCCCTGGCCTGTGAGGATAGCCACAGTGAGGGTGTAGAGACACAGGCTTGCTTCTGCCATGCAGCAGAGAGGAGTCTTTGCCCAGCGTCGTTCACGGCCCCTTAGCCATTCTCTCCTTCCTTTTGGATATGGTGGCTCCCTTTGGATTTTTTGGGGGGAGTGGAATTTTTACAATCTTTCTTAACACATTAGAAAGTTCTTTAAATTTTTTTCAGAAGTCATTATATTTTAGAGGGTACACAAATAAAATGAGTACTAATCTAAGCACCAAAGGGTAGCTTTTATTTGTTTATTTTTATAGAACAAAAATAGGTTGGGTGATAGCCAAAGCCTCGTACATACTCTACTACTGAACTATACTCTTCCCCCCCTCAGAGGCATTTTCCAGATTTAATATTTCATATGTAAAAGGTGGCAGGTGACTTTTTTTTTAAGGTCTTTCACTGAGATTCAGGGTTCTTTTACATGGCTGTGTTATTCTTTTCCATTTTCTCATAAAGAAAATTTGACACATGGAATTTACTGCAGAGAGATGTATGTTAAATTTGGATAACAGGACTGGGCACCGGTGGCACATGCCTGTAATCCCAGCACTCTGGGAGGCAGAGGCAGGAGGATCTCTGTGAGTTCCAGGCCAGCCTGGGCTACAAAGTGAGTCCAGGATGGCCGCAGCTACACAGAGAAACCATGTCTTGAGTACAAAACAAACAGACAGCAATGGATAACAGGCTAGAGTGCTCTTCCCAAACTAAGATATTCCTTTCTTTTAAAAAAAAATCTATTATTATTTTATTTCATGTATGTGGTGTTTTGCCTGCATGTATATGTATGTACCATGTGTGTCTGGTTCCTGTGAAACCACAAGAGGTCATCAGAGCCCCTCGAACTGGAGTTATAGATAGTTGTGGGCCACCATGTAGGAGCTGGGAGTCAAACTGGGTTTTCTATAAGAGCAGCAAGTACTCTTAACCCCTGGGCCATCTCTCCAGCTAGTATAGTTCTCAAGGCAGCCTTCTAGAACTGTAGGTCATTCCACTGTTAATCCTTAGGTAAATTTACTAACTTTCCTTACCAAGATTCTGTTCCTTTCGTTGCTTTGAGATAGCCCCGTCTGTGCAGGATAATGGTGATAGTTTTGGAGCTGCAGGCTCAGGTTAAGGGAGTGGATTCCCAATGGACTCTCAGGCTATGGGGGTGGGTTCTAAATGGACTGTCAGGTTGTGTGTGTGTGGGGGGTAGGTTCTCAATGGACTCTCAGGCTGTGTGTGTGGGGTTCTCAATGGACTCTCAGGCTGTGTGTGTGGGGTTCTCAATGGACTCTCAGGCTGT